CCTAGAAAATTCGTATTTTCAACTTTTTACCAAAAAAATAGGACTTAACATCATATAACAAGGACATATTTTGGTACTTCTGTACCAAAGTATAGGCAATGTAAAATCACACAAATCTTTTATGTACCAATTTCTTTTGGGTATTTTCACATAGCTGTGTGACTTATTTCTGGGCCACGGAATCTATTCCTGCTGAATGATTTTAAGCTTCTTCTATCTGGTGGGAAGTAAAAAAATTTACTAATTCACTGTGTGAATACTTTTTTCATTTTAGATACATCTTGAAATATCTTTAAATTATTGAGAGTAATTTTGCTGGCTAGATCTGACTAATAATTTCCCCACTGGTCTGAAACATCTGAGATGTGGATCCACTTTCACGTTTATAGTGACATTTGGGGATAAGATATTTAGACAAGAAGTTGGTATCCCCATGGGCACCAATCGTGCTCCCCTTCTTGATATGTTTCTTTATGCACATGAGTCGGAATTTCCGCTCGTATTTACAAAATCCAAACAAGGCAACCTGGCCAAGGAGTTTAACTTAAGCTTCAGGTACATCGATGATCTGATATGTTCAATAACGATCCAATAGCCAATTCCCTTTCACTGATTTACCCAGTGAAACAACCTCGTCCGTTTCATATTTAGATATGTGCCTTAATACTAGGTTTTTGGGTGAAACAAAATCTCTACAAGACTGTATGACTTCAACCTTCCTGTAGTCACTTATCCCCTTACGCCGAGCAATGTTCCAGAAGCTCCATCCTTTCGTGTCAACATTTCAACTGCTGAGGTACAATCGAGCATGCTCTTTCTTACAAGATTTTAAAGAGCGTCTCTTGCTTAAAAGTAGTTTGATCAAGTTACAAGTGTCAAGGCCTCAGTGGAACTTTCAAAACGTTTTATGGTACATTTGTAGATGATATTTTCAATTAACGCATCAGTGACAAATATTATGTCCGATGCAATACCTTATTTTGACTTGTACCATATGTTCCCGTGTTTTCGCAATTGACTTACCTTTGCATGTGTTTGTGATGGGTGCCGCCGGTGGAGCAGGTTACGTTCTTTTGGAGAACATCTCGTATCATAGCTATTTGATAGAGATTCATAAACACATTCTCGTGATATAACCGAGATCGAACCATCGACTCTGCTTTTAGCAGGGATTTCTTACATATATAAAAATGGTTTTGTTGCTTTTGCCTTTTTGTTGTTCAGGCACTTGCATATCGCGGCGCGTCAGCTTGATATGGGAGGGAAGCCTGATAGTTATGCAGGTTTTAGACGTTAACCACTGCATGGGCATAGTGCTGACAAACAGGGAAACATGAGCAGGGTGATTGCAACCCACGATCATCGGTTTCCGGCGCACCTAGGGGACGCAGCGACGCCCTATTCGCCTGGCCAGACTCCTGGAATTAAGATGGATGGTTGGAGGTTAATTGTTTGCAACTGTGTTTTGAAAACGAAACTAACACAACCCCCCAAAAAAACAAGCATAGAAATCGTACAAGTCACAATGACATAACTTCATAAATGTATTTTCTATTTTGTGTTTTCGCTATGATTGAGAAGCAAATGGTTTTGATGAGCAGCATTGACATTCAATATGCATAATCTGATCTTCCTTCATCTGTATATGACTATGAGAGTCCACTGGATCAAAAGATATAATCAATTTAATGCATGGACATGTTAAGATACCGTATGAATGAGTAATAGTGCTGATTTGTCTCAAAACAAGACATAATTTATGTATTATGCAACAGACAAAGTATATGTAGAATAAAGACAATTTCCTGATTTTTCCGACGACGCAATAGTTTACTTAAAAATTGCTTCCAGCATGCATTTTACTTGTTATCAGTAAACAGATAACGCCTGATTTTGTTCCGATATTTGCGAATAATGAATGAAATGCAATGTACCCCCTGACAGGCAGAATTGGGTGTTTATTCCACATAAACATTATTTAAATACCAACGCACCATTGAAAGGGCTGTACCTGCTGTCCAATCAGTATGATTTTCGTCCAATAGAATTGTTTTTGTCTTTGCATATGATTCAAGCATTATGATTTTTGGTTCATAACTTCCCAACAATTGTTAGGAAACTTCCTTTCCTGTCCAAAGTTGTGTGATGTATGCTTTAACGCATGTTTTCGTGGCTTTTTGTGGTTTTTGGACCCTGGTTGGGTCTTCCATCTTCGCTGACACCACACTTCCTATGCAGATGCCATTTTGTGTATATGATTGTATTATGACACTCATTCATGACACAATTTTCAGTACCTGTTTCTTGTACAATTTCTTGAAAAAAATTCTCACCTCTCGGTTATATACCTGATAAATACTGTAAATCTTGAAATTAACGCGAGCGTGAATTAAATGCGAAAAATGCGAGTGGTCTTGCTCGCATTAACTACTGCACACTTTAAAATGCCAACTTCAATACTAGTATACACACAAACAACTATACATTCTACATCATGGTTTATTGAGCAGCAGTTGAAACAAGTATACATAACAATGTCACTCAATGTGAGGAATACATACTATGGGCAACCTGTGAGTTATCACTGCTGGGGTAAAGAGTTCTAATCTCCCTTATTAACCCCTCGTTTATTACCATGTCTCCGGCAGACCAAACCGTATTCTTTAAATTAATGCAGTGCGACGATCTGATTAAACTATACTTGCTGCATTAGTCTTCGTAATGTTTCAGAGAAGAAAATATAATATAAAACAATAAATTAGGTTGTTGTGATAATTCCTATCATCTATCATGTTGTTTTGCTGTGTTTGTATGGTTGTTGTATGGAGATGCTGCGAGTTGTGATGAGTGACTGGCCCGTAAGATTGTGTTGTATGCTTGTTTCGTATTGTTTTCTTTAATTGTATGTGTATGTGTGACAGTGGATTGTTACCTTGTTAGTGTCTTTGTACGTGGTTGATGCTTCTTTTTGTGGAAGCGGGAAAGGATGTGGACGCGAGTGAGGACTTGGTTGATAATGCAGATAAGGGAGTTAGTATGGATGCGGGAGTGGGTACAGGTGAGGGTATGTTTGAGAAATAGGGTGTACGTGAGGGTAATGCTGATTGATAGTGCTAGTGCTATAATAGCTAGAGATATCATGCCGCAGTTTAACATAAATACCCCACTCAGACACAGTATACTGACTCCGAGCCGACTAGTCCTCGTTTTAACCCCGTTATGCCGAGCGCCAGACAGGGTACCATCTTTTAACGTCTTTTGGTATGACGCGGCCGGGGTTCGAACTCCGACCTTCCGCTCTTCGGGCGGACGCTCTACCACTAGACCACGGAGGCGGCCCGGTGTGGGTGAGGGTGCGGATGTGATTGAGCAGTTGTCAGTTCAATTCAATTTCTTTATTAACTCAAATCACCAGCCGGTGGTATAGGAGCAACATACAATAATAAACAATTAATGCTTTAAAAAAACAAACAGGATAAATCACATGCTTAGATTACCTCAATCTTATTAAAATCAGATACAAGTTCTCGCTATGGACGAGGACATCCAATTACAGGTCACGTCAGAACAACCTTTCGCGAACTATGACCTACCTATGAATTGCCCAACAGGAAGTCGACGTTAGCCACTTAGAAAGCAGCTTTCTTAGCTTTGGGTACAAGTTGCGGCTTCCATTCCAGACTATACTTTTGGAAGTATTTTGAATAAGTGATACAGTCCGTAACAGTTGTTTTGTGTTAAACTTTAGAGGTTGCTTGATTAGAAAAAGTATTCCGCCAACAATGTAACATAACAATATGAATATTTATTTTATGTTTTTTTATTACGTGTTTGAATCCTTATGTATCGGGTAGTTGTCCGATTTTCGATCACGAACGTTGATACTACTTAATTTCGTTTATCCGACATACTCGTTAATCCGACAAAACCATCTATGTCGGATGAACGGGTCTTGACTGTAATAACATACATATATACAAAAATACAATGTGATGAAATAGCAACAGTGGTTTACTTTAGTACAGAGAGTATTATTTACAAATTTAGATAGTTTTTTAAGATTGTAAGTTGTCATATTTGATTTGAATTAATGTTTTTTTCTTTGCTCGTCAAATATTCGCATCTAAGGAGGTAATGGAACTCGTCGGTTATGGCTGGGGAGGTCAAGGAGGGTTTTTATTTTCTTGCCTTGTCATTTTATATGTACAGCGGGTGACCCTATATTAAGATCTTCTCCTTCTCCTTCTCCTTGGCCGACACGACCCAACGCGCATCGAGAGGATTCATCACACTTATCCTCTGATCTACAGCCTTTGTCTTGTCGTCAACACCTTCTCCCCGCTTACCAATTAGTGAACGGTTGTTGGTTCAATTATTGTATTGCCTTTGAAGTTCCTTAATGCCAGTCAACAGAGTAAACATGCAAACTGTGTGTGAAAATCACATTTACTGACGAACTTCAATTTAGGTACGTTGTATGAGATCTTCGCATTTCGCGTACCGCTTCGGATAGCCGCTGTACTGAACTGCATGCATATACCCTGATGGGCGATTATACAATTTGATGTGGGTACAAATACAAAGAAACTATATAAATATTGAAGTTCTTCAAGCTCACACATTATAAGGGCCACTAAATAAATAGTTAGGGTGAAGGGTGGGGATCTGTCGGTGTTAAACTACTAATGCACTGGTCTCGCGAAGATTCGGGTTAGAATAGGTCTTCAGCAACCCATGCTTGCTGTAAAAGGCGACTATGCTTGTCGTTAATGGTGATTTACGGGATCGAGGGGTCAGCCTTCCTCACTTGGTTGATGCACGTCACCATATCCCAAATGTGTAGATCAATGCACATGATGTCAATAACTATATTGTCTGGTTTAGACACGATTCTTTCAAGACAGACGTCAGACGCTTGAATATTGCTGACCGCTGTAAAACTCGCTTACTCACTTCAGTAACATACCATATCTTAACTGACAGTATTTATATACCCTCAGGTGCATAGCGGCGAGCGTCCATACAAGTGTGTATATTGCAACAAAGCTTTCACAGCCTCAAGTATACTAAGAACACACATCAGGCAGCACTCTGGCGAGAAACCATTCAAGGTGAGTAATATCTGAATGATGCCTGTCGCTCAGCTGCAACAGCGTTTTACTATTACAGCATTTTGTATTTTTTTTATTACAAATATGATAAGTAAACATGTGTCGAGGGATCAGATCAGTTCTTATATGTCTTCCAGCTCTGGTGAACCAGCATATCAACGACGTATCTGGGTCAATGAAGTTGTTTGAGGTGTAATATCCCAGTACTGACGTCTGTGTTTAATTGCCTAGGTGTAGCCTGTTATACAACAAGTAAAAATGTTCATGTGCAGACCATTGTGGACTTAAAGTCCACACTGACAAGCAATAGATGAAGCTATGGAGGGAGGATTAAACTGTTCTTTGGTGCTTGTTATTTTTTAAATCTGACAGTTCCACACCGTGAAAGTAACTAAATGACCCAAAGTGACACGTGAGCTGATGTCCGTAAACTGGTGGGTTTGGTAATATTTTCTTCACAAATTGGACGGAATTCAGGTACAAGTTATGCTTGTAACTTTTGAGATCCTCTCCAAACTGGTTTTAATAAATTACAAAAGTGTTGTAGTTGTGAAAGAGAGAAACATGCAAGAGAGTACAAGACGAAAGAAGCTAATTGATTAAAGAACATACTCCATGTATACTCAAATCTTTTGATGTTGCATATATTATGTTAAAGCTTTAAATGATGTCAGCTATATATCTTCACTGCAAGATAACAGTAATTATCAATGGTAATGTTGCTATTGTTGGCATGTCATGTTTACAGACATAGGCGATGGCTGAGATAGACAGGTAGACAATGAATAGGCTTAACAAAGGGCCAAGGCACTGTAGCTCACCTGGATATGTAGTCAACCGTTTAAAATGTCAACAGAGAGATCCACCTAAAACATGTTGCTTTCAAAGTTACTATTCAAACATTTTCTGTCAACATTGTTCCTGACGAGTACGCTGAGTTCCTAATACTTAAGAAAAAAATATTCAAGTGTGAAATAGTATTCAAAATATTTAAAACTAACCAGCTGTTTGTCACACTGTAAAATAACTGTCCAGTGGGAAAAGGGCAATTGCTCTTGTTCAACTTCCTGTTCGCCATGGTGGTACAGCATTATCTGTTTATCAAGTTGAGCGGCACTGTTGAGGGGCAGGATGCTGCGAATATTCCAATCAACTGACAATTGTGAATGTTGTAGGACACAAACCTGGAGTACATGTTACCGTAAACCCCATTACGTTAGGTGAGGGGTAGAGTTAGGTTCAGTGCCACTTTTAGCAGTATTTCAGCTACATATGTTATCACGTGTGTCAGCATGATGTGGGAGTAAAGATTAGAATAAATAGATCGTTTACCACTTTGTTAATAAATCTACTAGTATAGTGGTAACAGGGGCATAGTGTTAACTGGTCAGGAATTTACCTGGGATTCAAACCCACGTCCAGCAGATTCTGACAACTTCGGCACTGCGAAATACGGCGCCGTTGAATTCATAAATGTATTAACTCAACCTTTTTATTTCCTGAACTTACCAATTCCGAATTTATGCTTTGTTTGAGGCGTCGTGCCGTTTGACCAAACAGTTACAGCTGTGCTAAGGTTGTAGCCGTGACGTTCACTAACATGGTTCACTGGGCATGGATGAATTTAGCAAGGGTAAAACGAGTTGCTCCTTCACCACGTCACGGGTTAATCCATCTCAATTACACATGAAGTCTCCTCTTTATACTCACGAAGTCTCCTCTTTGTACAAACATTGAAGTCTTTTCTATTTACACACATGAAGTCTCCTCTATTTACACACATTTAAGTCTCCTCTATTTACACACATTTAAGTCTCCTCTATTTACACACATTTAAGTCTCCTCTATTTACAGACAGACAGACATACAGACAAATTTATTCGGTACTTCAGGCCACCGGCCCATAATACAATGGAAATATACTGTATATATATTTGCATGCTGAGTAGATTTAATAATGATTCACCGTTCAACACTGTTTCCGTTGGATCTTCATGATTTGGGAGAGAAATTTACCTAAGCCTTTTATAATTTGTTCGTTTTCAGCTGACATAAGTCATATAAAATTCTCAATAGAGGGAGGGGTAACGAGACACGTGGGAAAAGAGTTTCTTCTTGCTCTAGAATACTGGTCACAAATCATAAGAACATGGAATTCATCTTCAACATGGTTATGTCCCTTTGAAAAACAGAAAGTGCAGACACGTTCATTATATGGGATGTTGTTGTGACGCCCCAGTTCAACAGCAAGTCTGACATTATTACACCGTAACATGGCTATAAGTCTACGTTGGTAAGAAGACATATCACAAGTAATATATGATTCCACATTTAGTAATGACTTGAAATGTGAGTAGTACTTGCATTTCGTTGATGATGTCGGGGAAAAGTGCCAATATTGAGTGAGGCAGTCGTAAAATCTTCGTTTAAAATCTGTCATAAAATGTTGAATATTACCAATGTCTTTGCTTAGCCAAACAAAACCAAATCTAAACTGGAATTAAATCATTCTAATATGTGATGCCCATGTAATTTTACCATTATCATCAAGAGATTTTAGTATATAATAAGCTTGGATGGGTAGCCTGTGTTGTTCCATCTGAATAGTCTGCACCAGTACTTGACTGCTCTTGACATGTAGTTATACTGTAGGGGGATCCTACCACAGTCTCCTAGAACCATGTTGTTGTTGGTGAACTTATCTACTTTCAAAAAGGATTTGCAGAATCTGTTATGGACACTCTCAATAATGTTACAGTAGCTGGTTCCCCAGATCTCTGATCCACAACATAGGATTGGTGAAATCATAGCATCAAAAATATTAAAAAGATCATGGTGATTAATGTATCCAAATTGTTTTTGATAATTATATATTGATAGAAGTGCTTTCCTTGCCTGGGCTGCTAGACATGCTTGGGCCTTGGTGAGATAACTTTGGTGAGAAAATAATTCCTAAATATCTGTACATGTTGACAGCTTCTATCTGTTGACCATTCAAAAAACACTTTTCATAACTGCGAAGAGTACCTCCATTCCGAAATACTATTATTTTAGTCTTATTCAGGTTGACTTTCATGCCAGTATCATCACAGAATTTCTCCAGGGTCTTTATTTTCTTTTGAAGCTGTGAAGCAGTATCAGAGACGGTTGACACATCATCAGCAAATAACAGCAAATACATCAGGGATATGAGTAGATATAAACACACCTCTACCACCTTCTTCCTCCAACATTGAAACTAACAGATTAATAAATATGATGAAGATCTTAGGGCTTAAGATACACCCCTGACGAGTACCCATGGTACACTTGAAGTATGGCGATAGTCCACAATCAGTTCTCACACATGCACATAGTGTTGAATACATCTGAATTATGAACTTGAGAAATTTACCTTTAACTCCCAGTTAAAGGAGTCTGTTAAATAACATTTTGTGGTTCACACTATCAAAAGCTTTTGAAAAGTCTATAAAGAGACAATAAAACCTTCCATTTCTCTTTGATAAATATTTGTTGACCATAGCTTGTAGGGCAAATATCTGGTCAATAGTGGAATAATTTTTTCTGAAGCCAGCTTGAAATTCAGATATAATATTGTTGTTTTCACACCAATGTTGAAGTCTGTTGTTACCTACTGTTGTAGAACTTTACACAATGAATTTATCAAGGAAATGCCTCTGTAATTATTTGGATCTGAGAAGCTGCCTGATTTGTGTAGGGGACAAATAATACTCTTGCCCCAGCTACTAGGAAATATACCACTGTCGTAAAGTTTATTGAATAGTTTTGTTAATAATGGTGAGATATAGTTCTTAGTTGCTTTAAAGAATTCGTTATCTATGCCATCTGGGCCAGGAGATTTGCTTGTTTTGAGCAATTTCAAACTCGCATTAATTTCCTCTTGTGTAAAAGGGTCATTTAATTCACATAAATAGTCACTGTCATCTGCATCTGTGTATTCCCATATTGGGTCACTGTAATCATAGCTACAGTCAGAATTACAGTTCAACAGCAGGGTATGAAACTCCCAAAAATTTCAGCCAGACCACAGGACTGGCTAGCTGAAATACTTGCCAGCTCTGACCAAAACCTGCCTGCCCACTATAACAATATGTTTCTCAGGATAAGCTAACGAGGTTTCTTTTTGGTTACATTTTATCATTCATCTTTACATGTGAATAATGCTTATCATCGGGAAATATTTAGAATATTTTCACATATGAAATATAACCCGACCGTCGGGCAGGGGGATTTGAAAATCTGGCAGCCCGAGTTGAAATCAACCCGTCTCGGAGACGGTCGGGCAGGCAGGTATTTCGAACACTGTCAACAGGTTATTAAAATGTTCAAACCACTGATCTACTGTTATGTTGGAAGGATTCTTATGATTTACTCTGCAGGATTTTAACTTTTTCCAAAAAGATTTTGAATCATGTCTGGATGCACTGAGAATTTCCCTCTGTTTATGGCAATAATCTTCCTTTTTCAAATAAAATGTTTCTTTAAATTTCCTTTTACATTCTATATTTATAGCAATACCCTGTCCATATTTCCTATGTAGCCTTAGAGCTGCATATTTCTTTTGTTTTAATACTTCCAGCTGATCATCCGACCAAGGTGGCTGTGGTGATATGTCAGTTAACTTACTACCTTTGTACACTTTTTTAAACTCTTCTGCAGCACTATGGTAAAGGTCTGTTAAAGTATCTACACTGTCTTCTACATTTTCTTCAATCTGTTTGTATATACTGTCACAATATGTTAAAAGAGACCTTGGAAATTCACCATAAATGATTAACTGTTATATGGGCACCATGTATACTTGGTCCATCTTTCTTGCTGAGCTGAGTCTTGATGGGTTTCATTACCAATATGACTTTTATTAAAAACATTGGGGTTGCTGTTGGATTCCTTAGAGTAATTAAGTGGAAAGTCAATAGTACAGTAAAGAGGGAAGTGATTAGATCCATCTCTCTCATGAACACCAAAGGAGCTAAAATGTGGAAATACATCTGTACTTGCCAGAAAAAAGTCCACCACACTGGCACCATTGTGAGTGATACAAGTAAAGTTCCCATCCATATCATCAAATAGCCGCCCGTTTAGTACATGGACATCATGTGTGCAACATAATTCTGCTAGTTTGACACCATAACTGTTGTATCGAGTGTTATCCTTTGTTTTACGGGGAATATCGAACCCATCAGTTGGATAGTCATCACTGTTCTCATGAATGAAGTTGAGATCATCAGCTGGGATATAATCCAGAAATGTACGCATCCTTGCATTGAAATCTCCAGCTAGTAGTAGGTAATGATTGTTATAACTATTTATGATTGTCTCAATATATCCCTCAAGACGACTTATGGGATCAATGTTAGCCTCATTAAAAACAGGGGAGTTTTCAGGCGAGATATAAACAAATATTAAAACTGAATCTTTTTGTAATCCAAAATAACTTGTTTGAAAGTGCAGCACAACACAATCGATAAATGAATGACATATTCGACGAATAAGATTGTTCTTGATGAAATTATCTTTCACCAATACGGTTACACCACCACTGTAACGGCCACGTTGTTTACTTTTAGGTCGACAAAAGTTAAATGATTGAAAATCGGACAATAGATCGCCAAAGTCTTCTTCCTGCTTAACAAACGACTCACAGAAACTAATAATGTCGTATCTACCGCAGAACTGTTTAAAATCACTAAATGAAGAACTCACGTGTTTGTACAATCCATCAATATTCCAACTGAGAATACTACAACTTGTGCCTTGGCCTTCTCCTCATCTTCATGTTGTCGATCGCGGACCTCTGTCCGGAGTGCTCTCCCTTCCATTTCCGGGTCCAGATTCCGACGTAAACAAAGGGGCGTGTATGTGCTGTTGGTTAGACTGCGTGCCTATGATGTTTGTTGATATCCTGTTTCCATTGGTCGTGCATACATTCGTGTTCTTCACACTGTCGTATACAAACACTTTTCCATCAACCATGAGTTTGTCGTGTCGAATTTTCGGTTTTAATCCGGCTTTTAGAGCTTCAGAATATAATGGAGCTAAGGAGCGTCGGGCCTCGCGTACACGCTGTGTTAGGGTAATGCTGGGTAATGTAGGCGAGCGGCCGTGTTTACTGAGATCCAGAGATGGGTATATGTCTAGAGCAATATCGTGCGAAAATAGGCACCTTTTCGCAACCAAATAAGTCCATACGCACTATGCATGGTATTTCGCTCAGAAGAAAGTCTGTTTCCTCTATTTACACACATTTAAGTCTCCTCTATTTACATACATGAAGTCGCCTCTATTTACACACATTTAAGTCTCCTCTATTTACACACATATAATTCTCCTCTATTTACACACATTTAAGTCTCCTCTATTTACACACATTTAAGTCTCCTCTATTTACACACATATAATTCTCCTCTATCTACACACACGAATTCTCCTCTGTTTACAAACACGAAGTATCTTTACACGCATAGACTCCTCTCTTTACACACGTCTCCTGATGACAAACATAATGTTTTATTATTTTATTTGGGAGATATTCTTCAAAGGCTGGAGAATAGCTGATAGAATGTTTGCGATAGTATGCAATGTACTTGAATATGAACATTAAATATATGATATTATGACAAGAATATGTTGATGATGCTTTGTTGTCTGATCGCAAGGTGCAATTAAATGCGTGGTGAAGAATACACTTCATTGATGAAAGTAAGTTATTAGCATCAATACAGATAGTCTATGAAAGTCACGTCATTTATTTGAAAAGTCAAAGAAAACTACGAGAGTAAATCTCTAAAAATGTGAAGGAAACGTTTGGAGTCATTTAAGGATATACGTAAAAAGAAAACTGTGCAGAATAATATCACGTTATGTCTGTCATTTTCTGCCCATGTTCATTCTCCACATCAACCTTTTTCGTTTCAGTGTAAACACTGTGGAAAAGCTTTCGCCTCTCATGCTGCCCACGACAGTCACGTGAGACGGACCCATGCTAAGGACCAGTCGTGTATGTGCTCAGTTTGCGGGAAAAGCTTCTCACAGACCTTTGAACTCAAATTCCATATGACCTCACACGTTGGAAAATAGCACACCGACACTGGCAGTGTAAACATACCTATCATTACCATAGTGTAGAAGTCGGTAATCACGCGGCATTCTTTGACGTTCACAGGGGATTACGGCCAAACAATGTTTTTCCACACAGCGCCTGTACCATCAGCACCATACATGTCAATGTTTTGACCAATTAATAAAAGAAGTAATCAGGTGAACATATGGCAATGTTAAGTATTGCATAATAAATCAAGAATCGTGTTGTTTATTTTTCTCCCATTGTTGTTGACGAACTAGTGTATAACCTGTATTTATAAATTTGTTTATGCAAACACAGATATATATTCAGATTTGTATACCCCCTTCACATCAATATTGGTTGGGTACATACAAAGACTTTCTTTCGTTTGTCACATTTTCGTGTTGGAACAAGACCTTTACTTTTCAAATATCTCCGTGTGGCTACATAAACTTTGACCAAGAGTTGCCCTTTTGCATGTTCATGTTTCTTTTTAAGGGAAAAAACCTGATTAACACGATGCTGTTTTAAGTCACCATACACAGACGTACATGTCACAATGCAAACACACGAACTTAGTGGTCACTTTGACAGTAACTTATGACTTGTATACTTCAATGATATGTTCCATTCTTACAATGGAAATAGCAAACGTCAAAATTAGTTTATCTTTATTACCTGCCATCTCAGTCTAAATGGTCAAGGCAAATGTCACTGCCTATCATGCCTGGAAGATGGTGAAGACAAGAGAGAATTACATGCCGGTCCTGTACTAACTTCTGGAAACACCCGACTATGAAGGTGTGGACATCTGTTCCGCCTACTACCACATAGTGCTATGTGCTATGTGCTACACAACTGATTGTACTGAATGGAAGAATAATCATGTACGCTCATTTCAGTGATCCATGACACGACTACAAGGCCAGTGTAACCCATAAGATGATTAAAATTGGAGATCTGTTTTTTTTATGAATGTCTTGTCAATTATTTCTAGCAAGTAATATATGAACACACAATGTCATTTATAAAGTGGTCAAATGTAACAAATGTTATAATGGTATAACACTTTTGTAGTAAAGGACAGATTCTAGTACTTTTTGGAGTTGAGTCTCATCCGGGATTCGAACCCTCACTCTAAGAGTGCGGCACCTACTCGCCAGCACACAAAGTCAGCGATCTCACCCGCTCAGCCACCGAGGCTACCACTTCAAAGGATTACGGTACCGTCCGTCAAGCTTCATGACCAAATTTTGCTCGAAATAAACTACGGGGCACGTCCGGCCTCCATTCAAGAATCCGCTGGAATTGGGTTCGAATCCCAGATTCAGCCCGATTATTATCGTTGTTATTTGTCATCACTATACTGACTCGTTCTGTAATAACCTTTCGCAGTATGTGGGTTTGGTGTAAATTAACTAAAATATGACTACTGCACCGATGTGTCACAGATGTGGTAAAAAATCTGTGGTACGCAGGGGCATCAGTGAAACCCAAGCCAGCAGGAGTTATCTCCCCTTACCGGAAGTGCCTCCATCTTGGATGAGCAAAGAGGGGTATTGTGGGTCATGCGTGCTCATCCAATATGGCGGCATGTCCGTTTTCGGTGGCGTGCGCATCCAAGATGGCGGCACATCCGTTTCCGGTGGCGTGCGCACCTCCAAGAGGGCGGCACATCCGTTTCCGGGGAGGAGGGGGAAAAACCCAAAGAAGCGCTCGTACAAGGTGAAAAAGAATGACATTTAAAGAAGCGCGTATAAAATCCTGGATGTATACCATTTTTTTGTTTTTTCTTTCTAAAAATAGAAGAGGCGGTGGTGGTGGGAGGTGGCGGCGGTGGAGGGGGAAGGGAGGGGAGGGCGGCGGCGGAGGGGAAGGGGGATGGCGGCGGCGGCGGAGGGGAGGAGGAGGTGAGTTCTTTTGTTTGGGTTTGAGGGTCGTCAAAGCATGAGGATGAAAAGCGTTCTTTCGGGAGAGATGGGTGGCCCTAAAAAGGGCCGTTGGAAAACAAACTGGAAACTGGAAACGACAGGAAACGGTTGGAAACTGAAATAAACAGTGGAGCAGCATGTCCCATGCGTTAGTCACTTTGCTCAGATGATCTATCTTCTTCATCCTCTATCTCCATCTCATCCTCGGACTGAAGGTGTCGTCGGCGCTTTGAAGAGTGTTTTCTTGAGGGGCTTCTGTCCCATTTTCTTTTCCCTAGACGTGGTGTGATGCCTGCACGGAGTTGTGTGATGCATTCTTTTAGGTCGAGAACATCAACAGTCATGGCTTCTATGAGCTGAAGCACTTGTGTCACTGGTGTCGACGTGGACGGTGCTGCTGACGTTTTCTTTCGACTGGGTTCTGGGCAATCTGCAGCGAAATGACCTACGACTTGGCAGTTGTAACATGGGCCCTGAAGAATCTTCTTTCGACTGGGTTCTGGGCAATCTGCAGCGAAATGACCCATGACTTGACAGTTGTAACATGGGCCCTGGGGAGTCTTCTGCTTATCTTGACTGCTTATCTTCGGACAGACATAGTGACGGTGACCTTGAGTGTGGCACTCGGTACATGTCACTTCAGGGCAGTACAGGTAACTTTGACTGTCGGTCTGGCACTTCATACAACTGTATCGAGGTGACATGGTTGGTTTCATAGAATGCAGTGTGTGTGTGTGTGTGTGAGTGGCTTCGCTCTTGTTTTATAGGAGAGGCACTGGCACCCTGCTTCCTGGTTGGTTCGTCACGCAGCGCCCCTGATTGGTTCGTTCCGGTGCCTGGCCTGCACCTCAGTTTTCCAAAAGGACCGACCCCTGTGTTTCTTTTCCATAGGAAATGGATTTTACCATGGGAGAGAAAGCACAACCCCGGTTCGACCAATCAGAACCCACAACGGTCCGAGCGCGGCCTCTGATTGGTCGAAAACCCAGGCTTCTGATTGGTCAGATTTCGATCCGATCTTCAAACAGACGTTATACTTATTGAGTATTTAGATGGCTAGAGGAAAGATCGATAGACATACGTAGTGTTACACCCGTGTCTTCATGCAAACGTAGTGTCATGTGTGTGTCTTCAAACAGACGTTGATACATATTATTATTATTATTATTATTATTATTATTATTATTATTTATACCGAGGTGTTGACACTCGTGTAGGTCTACAGGCGTACTGTCACACGTGTTTCCATGCACACGTCATGTACTTCATGTTGCCATGCAAACGTTGTGTAGTACGTGTCTCTATGCAAACGTGTCATACGTGTATTTATATATATTTATTTTATTTTGAGACGTACAATTGGGGAATCACGCGTAGGCGTGTGCTTCCAAGAGGACTGGGGAGGGTGTGGGTTCTTTGTTTTGGATTGATGTTGTTTGTGTTGGCAAAGCAAAGGATGAAAACTTTCTTTTGGGAGAGATGGGTGTCCCTGAAAAGGGCCGTTTTGAAGAAGAAAAAACTTTTCTGCTGCTGTCAAAGAAGAAACATCATGTCCAATCTTATTGCAAGACAAGGATCGTCGAAGCTGTACTTGCTGCCATCTGGGTATGTCATCTGGGTGCCCTACGTGGCACGACTTGTGGGTCCAACAAAGAAAAAAAGCTTGTTGGTAACAGGAAGCGGGAATAGTAATGAACAGGAACTTGAACGGGAACTTGAACACAGGAAACGGGAAACTTCCTCCTAGGCAGCGGGTCATGCTACGCCATTCGTGTTCTTCTGATTCACATTCTCCTCGCAGAGATAGTGTCGCTGTAGCTTCTTCTTGTGTCTCACCAGACCGGTTAGTTTGAGGTAGTCACAGTGTGGGGACCACTTGTGGTGTTCCACCCAAGGATTGTCATGGGACGCCCATCATCTCAGCCGCACACCACATTGGAAACAGTACACGCCTTCGGCACCCTGAGTGTGGACAAAGCCCGCATGGGCCATCTCTTCAGTAGTCTGATTCATTTGCGTCAGCCACGTCTCAAACGAAACGAGCCTTCTTTCAAAGCGTAGATAATAGGGTGATGGTGTGTTACTGAGCGGCGACATCTCATCATCAGCATCCGTACTCTTACTCCAGCATCCACGAGTATCTGCACCATATCAGTCACCATATCCCCGTCACACGTTGTCGTACAACTCTTCTTTGTCTTCTTGATGCGATGATGATGATTTTCTTTTTTTCACAAGTGACACTGACCCACTCGAATGGTTGTTCTCTTGTTTTATAGGAGAAGAACCGGATCGAAAATTGCTGCTTCTTTATGGGTCCAAAACACAACGCACTGATTGGTCCATTCCGGTGCCTGGCCTGCACCTCAGTTTTCTAAAACGACCCAACCCTTGTGTTTCTTTTCCATAGGAAATGTTTTTTTCCATGGGAGAGAAAGCACAACTCGGCTCGGGTGCTTTTGGGGAAGGGTTTTCTATAAGTCAGATGTTCAGTCAATCTTATAGTACAGACGTTCATCAGACACCCATCGCTATCATCACGAGCAACCAGAGTACGCCTTATCGTTTGGAGAGGAAAGACACCACATGCTCCAGACGATTAAGAACTGCTAACCATACCTATCGTTTGACTTTCAACTCAGATTACTTGGATACCGTACCACCGCGTTTCCATTGATCTGCCGGCTTTATTTGACAGAGTGATCGATGACTTTTATCAACAGATGTCAGGCCAGAAGGGAGATCGTATTGGTCTAGGTATCGAAAACCCCCATATGGATTCCCTTTCGTCGCTTTGAAGATCTCCATGGGCTAGATATTTTGCATGCCGTGGAAAAAGTCCAACAGTCCAACAAAGCCCTGAACATCGATGCCACAATGGTTGTGACTTAAGTACATGTAGCAGATCCCGACAGGCTAGGATCAGGCAGTGGAGGTCCCTGTGGTTGGACTTGAAGCCTTTTTAACACGTAAAAAGGGCATTGTACGGATCAAGAACGAAGATCAGTCCTGTTTGGCACGGGCCCTGGTGGTGGCACAGCATTATGCCCAGAAACCCAACCCTCTGACACCAGAATGGACCACCCAGCGAGTGACACTGATGAGAACGGATCGACGAACCGATGTTCAAGGCATACGGGAACGGAACTTGTTTCGGTGCCTTGGCCTGCCTGAAGGTCCCTGTCGGGGCCTGGACGACCTAGCACGCGTGGGATGCGCCTTGGCCCACCTGAATTATCAACAGAAAGTCTACAGTCAAGAGGTGGACCAGAGACTGTTGTACAAGTGTGATGAGGCTCCACCCAACGCCACCGTGCTGCAATTATATCATCATGATCAGCACTACTATGTGATCACTTCCATGCCAGCTTTTTATGGGTCTAAGTATTACTGCGAACGCTGCGACCAACGTTACGACCATCCCGAAAAACACTCCTGCACCAAGCAATACCGCTGTCACCGTTGCCTCCACTCTAGCTATTGCAGACCCAAGGAAGAGCACGGGATCCCTTGCTTGACATGTCAACGCTGGTTCCCAAATCAACAGTGTTACACCCAACATCTTCAGTGACCGTCAGAGGGAAAACCCAGCGCCTGTCAATCGATTCACAGGTGCCCGACCTGTTTGCAGCTGGTCCGCGTCTTGGAGACCCCCATGTCTCAGATGAAGAACATCCCTGCTTAGTGTGTCGAGAACCCATGACCTCAGACCATCGCTGTAACATGACAACCCTCCGTGAAGTCAATGAGGAAGAGGAGGGAGAGGGGGAAGAGGAGGAAGAGGAACAACATCAAATACAAGACAATGTCAAATATGTGTTCTATGACTTTGAATGCATGCAAGACACGGGGGAGCACATTCCAAATTTGTGCGTGGTGCAGTTAGGATGTGGACGATGCATCAGTGAAGTGAGCAAGGAGTTGTGCGAACACTGTGTTTTGATGCCCCACCACACGACATGATGTGTGTGTGTGGTTGACAACAATGGCTGAAAAACCCAAGAAGAAGAACCAAGAGGAAGAGGAGGACAGCACATGCAAGGGGACAACAGCACGCAAGGGGACAACAGCACGCCTTGGATAAGAAAACAGGATGGAACCCCCTCAAGAAAGCACTCTTCAAAACGTCAACGACATTCATCACCCCAGGAGGAGGAGGAGGCGGAGGTGGAGGGGGAGGATGTCATGGAAGTGGACGCGTCCACCCTGTTGGAGGAGGAAAAGGGGAAGGAGAAGACAAAGAAGACAAAGAACAAGAACACCACCACCACAACAGTCCAGAAGGAGGACCGCATTTATGTGATGGCACATAATGCACGATCCTATGATATGCACTTGATCCTGAAGGGCCTGTGCCCCCTTCTAGTGAAACTCCCCACCAAGATTCGAAATGGACAACAAATTTTGCAGGTGACCCTGGGACGCTTGTGTTTCGAAAACAGTTTAAATTTCATACCCTACCCACTGAAAGCATTTCCAAAGAGCTTTGGGCTGAAAGAACTGAAGAAAGGGTATTTTCCACACTTTTTCAATACCGAAGCCAACCAGACCTACAGAGGTCCCTATCCACCAGACGTCATGTACGATCCTGATGGCATGTCTCCCGCGGAACGCACAGCCTTCCTCCAGTGGCATACCCAAAAAGTGCAAGAAGGAGCCTTGTTTGACTTGCAAGGAGAACTCTTCTCCTACTGCCAGAGCGATGTGGACATTTTAAGACGGGGATGCGCTGACTTCCGACAGAACGCCATCAGGTCGGTTCGCATGGATCCCTTCGTAGAGGTGATGACAGCCGCTGCGTTCACCATGAAATCCTTCCGAAAACACGATCTGAAACCCAATACCATTGCCATTCTTCCACCTCAAGGCTACAAACCCAAGAGGAACTATTCCCAGCCCTGTATGCACTGGTTAAATTATCTGATGGAGACGGACCCCAATCTGCACCTCCAGCATGCCAGGAATGGAGGTGAAAAAGAGTTCACGTGTGGAGAGGGACAACATCAGTACAGTGTGGATGGCTACGATCCAGTGACAGGCACCATCTACGAATTCCTTGGGTGTTTCTGGCATGGGTGTCAGACATGTCACAAGACCCAACGTGGGGAACCTCATCCCGTCCTGGGCACGCCATTGGGAGCATGTTATACCGACACCCGCTACCGCCTGAGTCTCTTGAGTCAACACCCTGAGGTGAAACGAATCGTCACCCTGTGGGAGCACGAGTTTACAAAAATGCAACAGGAGAACTCCGCTCTGCGTGCTTTCTTGCAGGGACCCCACTGTATCCACGTCCCTGGACCGCTCAACCCTCTTGACGCCTTCTATGGAGGACGCACCAATGCCACGCGATTATGCTACGAAGCCCAAGAAGGTGAAACCGTCAAGTACATTGATATTTGTTCCCTTTATCCTTACATTTGTAAGACCGGAGCATTTCCCACGGGACACCCGACCCTTCTCCATCAACCACCTGTGGACACGTTGTTTGAGCTGAAAGGACTTATCCAATGTCATGTCCTACCCCCGAAACGACTCTATCATCCGCTACTGCCCTTCAGATCGGGTGGCAATCAGCTCTGTCCTTTGTGCCGTACGTATGCCGATACCCGGTCAGACTCCCCCTGCAAGCACACGGACGAAGAGAGGTCATGGGTGGGTAGAACTCCATGAAGCCGTGAAGAAGTATGACTACCAGGTGCTTCAGATCTACGACGTTTGGCATTTTGACACCTTTGCACAGCATGATCCCGACACCCAGCAAGTAGGACTCTTTGACACTTATATCGATCGTCATTTCAAGGAGAAGCTTGAAGCCAGCGGATACCCCGAGGGATGTACGGATCACGACGCTTACATCCAGGAGACCTACGACAAAGAAGGCATTGGGTTGGACATCGGAAAAAAACCAGGACTTCGCACGATTGCCAAGATGCAACTGAATTCACTCTGGGGCAAGTTTGGACAACGGTTAGACTACAGTGAGAACATCTATATGAATGATCCTGTACAGTACTCTACCTTGTGGAGGGATGAACGCAATACCATCGAGGATGTCACCATTGTCAACGAACACATGGTGGAAGTGACCTAAACCCACAAGGAAGAACTCCAAACCCCTCATTCTCATTTCAATGTCGCCCTCTCTGCTTGGGTCACCGCCCAAGCACGTCTCAAACTGTACGAGACCTTTGCCCTGGTGGGTTGCAGGGTCTTGTACTTTGACACAGACAGCGTCATTTACATTCATCGACCCCACGACACGAATCCAGAGCTGGGCCATTCGTTGGGTGAGTTTACAGATGAACTGGACGGAAACACCATCAAGACGTTCGTTCGAAACTGACTGAACCCAAGAAAGTAGCACCGAAGAAGACGATAAAGAAGACCCAGAAGAAAAAAACAAGCAAACCAGCAGCAGCATCAACAACAACCACAGCAACAGTTGCCACCACAGCAGCAGCTGCCACCACCACCATCACAACAGCACCAGTCACCGCTACAGCAGCAGCAGCAGCAGCAGCAGCCACCAAAACGAAAGGGACATCCTTTTCGAAACCTGCAACACCTGCAAAAAGATGACCACGGAAGAAATTGTCCCTGAAGATCTCTCATCAAGAACAGCTGTAAGTACCATGCTATTCTTTGGGATGTGTATGCCATGATGATGATGATGATGATGATGATGATGATGATAGAATATTACGAATGCATGACGATGATCGTGAGTATACTGAAAGGTTCTTTTCTTGTTGGATTGACAGGACACCCATCCTTCCTTCCCCTGATGTCAGTTCAGCGCAGTCCGTGTTAGAACAGTGGTGGGAACAAATCCCTCGGGAGCCAACCTATTCACCGAATGCGCCTGTGATGATGAGGACCGGTGACAGTGATGGTCATGAAGCGCTCAAGCTGACAACCCTCCCTTCCATGGATCTGGACACACCCACCCTGCTTGATGCTTCTTGGTCACCAGCATCACCGGAAGATGTTAATGTCTTCTCCTCAGGTATGCCCATGGTTTGCAAAGATGATGACAACGTTGACCAGGATACTTATGGAGAAGCTCAACTCACTCCCCTACAACGGGAATGTAGTGTCTGCTGACACAACAACATGTTAAGATACATAAGCTGCAACAGTGGTCAAGTGATGTGTCATGTCTGTTTCAGGGAGGCCATAGACTGTACTTGTTTTACTGATGGACCTCTCACATGTTTGGGACCTGTTTGGGACAGTATGGTGGAGGACCACATCTTATGGTGACCCTCATCTTCACTCGAAGAGCTTGAAGATGGAAGAGGAAAGCACTCTCTCCTCAATTGTCGTATTTCCTATGTATCTGGTTGTTGTTGTTGTTGTTCATTATTAAACAGTGATTGATTTAACTGACTCTTTGTGTCTTGATTGATCTCAACTCCAATAGGGTGCCGAACCGAGGGTAGAGGCTGAGTTGAGATGTCGTCTACGTTGTCTGTCTGTCTGTCTGTCTGTAATGTCAGTACACACCAAAGTAAAGAATAACATATAAAAATAGATAAAAGAAAAGGCCATGCTTGAAAGATCAGCTGCCTGGTGACAGTCATTCCAGTACACACCACCACTACCACCGTGTGTCATGCCGTGTGTCAGTCAGCCAAAACACGTGAAGATGATGATGATGATGAAGAGGTCATGACCTCCCGTTTAAGGGGGGGAGGAAACTTTCATACAAGCAGGCGAACCCCCAGATCTTCTTTCAGTGAGTCACAGTCATCATGGGACAAGGACAGTCTATGAATACCTTGTCATCCTCCCGAGATGTCCCCGATACCGAGTGTGTGTCTGAAAAGGCGAGAGAACAAGCGAGAAAACGCACAGACTTTATGGACGAAACACTCTTTATGGACGACACATGGCGACTCAGTGATATTCTGGAGGGACCTTTTCCTTCTTACACCTTGTGTCATCCTTCTCATCCTAACTATGATTCATTTCAAGAACGTCTGAGGTCTTTTCAAACGTGGCCTAAACAGATGACCCAGACCCCTTATGACATGTCTATGGCTGGCTATTTTTATCAAGGACGAGGTGACCGTGTTATCTGTTATTGCTGCGGTGTGACACTCTGCCAATGGGAAGCAACAGACAAACCCTGGAAAGAACATCTGAAGCACGCCAAAGTCCCCTGGTGAATACTTGTGTGTGTTTTGTCCTGATGAAAAAAGGAATGAAAAATACAGAAGTTTGGTGTCCAAAGAAGTACGGAAGAGAAGAGTCGAGTGTCTTGTTCACCCCAAGTGACAAAGTTTCTTTTTTTCAAAGTGTACAGACGTTCATACCCTCGTGGTCACCCTCGTGGTCACAAAAATCATAAGTGTAATGTTGTCTGTATGATGAAGAAAAACAAAACAGGATCTAAATGCACACCGAGAAAAAAACTGGATCGAAATCTGACCAATCAGAAGCCTGGGTTGTCGACCAATCAGAGGCTGCGCTCGGGCCATGCTAGGTTCTGATTGGTCGAACCGGGGTTGTGCTTTCTCTCCCATGGTAAAATCCATTTCCTATGGAAAAGAAACACAGGGGTCGGTCCAGTTTGGAAAACTGAGGTGCAGGCCAGGCACCGGAACAAACCAATTGGAGCCGCTGCATGGGGAACCAACCAGGAAGCAGGGTGTCAGTGCCTTTCCTATAAAACAAGAGCGAAGCCACTCACACTGCATTCTATGATATCAGCAGCAGCAGCAGCAGCATGCAAAATAACACAGAAAACTGGGATATGGAACTCATTTCAGTGGTGCAAAGGCTCAGATTGGAGGAGAAAGAAACATCACCAACATTGCCAATATGGCAATGCAACAGGGACCAAGAGTGTCGACCAGTCTACGCCCTTGGTACAAGGGCACGGGATGGGACATTTCAGTGTCTATATTGCAATACTGTCCCCGAAGGACACGTATATGAGGCGTTTAACCCACACAAGTAAGTGTCCTGTGAGACGACAGATTACAGCCCACCCGTGCCTTTGCAGTACACCCCGTTGGTGGGAGAAGAAGTGATCGACTTCTTCCCCAAAACGGCCCTTTTCAGGGCCACCCATCTCTCCCGAAAGAACGCCTTTCATCCTCATGCTTTGACGACCCTCAAACCCAAACAAAGAACCCACCAACCCCCTTTCCCTCCGCCGCCTCCGCCGCCGCCACCTTCTCCCACCCACCACCAACACCACCACTGCCTCTTCTATTTTTAGAAAGAAAAAAAACAAAAAAAACGTACACCCAGGAGTTTATACGCGCTTCTTTCAATGTCAATCTTTTTCACCTTGTTTTTCCCCCTCCTCCCCGGAAACGGATGTGCCACCCTCTTGGAGGTGCGCACGTCACCGGAAACGGACATGCCGCCATCTTGGATGCGCACGCATGACCCACAATGCCCCTCTTTGCTAATCCAAGATGGCGGCCATTCCGGTAGAGGAGATAACTCCTGCTGGCTTGGGTTCCCAGACCGTTGCCCTCAACTACTCATATGCCTTTATATTGTCTGACTTCAAAACTGAAAGTCCCCCATGCCTGAGGTTTACACTTCCAGTTTGGGAAATCAGATGCCAAAGGCAGTGCATTTTTAAAACAGAGTCCCAGCCACAAGCTAAATTAATGAGAACGTTGTAGTTTCGGTTAAATTAATTTGATCCTCAATTTTACAAGGAAACAAAGGGTATTAGCTCTCACAAAATATCTAGCTACTACAAAGTGTCAGTACACTGTGCTTCAGACATAAGTACCTTAAGAATGATATTTCCACTGAGATTAACATTCAGTGCAGATCAGCCAAATTCATATCACTTCAGTGCCATACCATAAGTATAATATTTACCAAATTTCACCATACTACAGTAAACAATTTTCGGGTTATAATGGACACATGCTTTTTGTATTTGACCTTACGACTGAATGTCACCTTCAATGTCAGGCATGGACAACTCATTGGACATGTGTCACGGTGACTAGCTACTCATAAAATTGTCATTAATTGTCCTTACTTTAGTAATCAAATCAGCATATGACCACTGTATGAATATGAGACTCCAAATAATATTGGAAGAAAATGATTTTATTGAGAATAATCAAAAAACATTCTTTCAGCAAATACTGGAAAAATGTTTTGCCTCAGGTTTTAGAATGTAAACATAACATGTCCAATGGATGATCTGATATGGGTTGCTGGTCACTACATGGTTTGGGAACAAGAATTCATAACTCTTCTGCTACTGCTAGATGCACACTTGACCGTTATACATTCGGCCGTAAAGGACGTATGCTTAATGTAAACGCATTACAACACAAGTATTACAATTCTTCTGGTGATATTTTTGCAACAAAATTACTTCACAACCCGCGCTTTGGCCATAAATGCCGACACTGCATACACGATGCCCTAGGCCTTGTAGTAACAGAGTAGATCTCGAAAATGTAACCATTTACGACGGACGGCAAGCACACCCCAACACAAGATAATTTGAACTTTTAGATCAGGTGATCTATAATGGGTCAAAATGACAGCTCCAGTAAGATTGTTTAAGGTTGTTTAAGGTCATCTTCCCGTGCCAATGGAGCTTACTGATTATAAAGGTCCAGTGTTTACCCTTGCCGAACGAGGCTAGAATTATGGAGTTATATTTTGGCTGGACTAACGGGTCTATGCATAGTCCAATCACAATCGCTGAGAAAAGACGTAGGCGACGCCAAGCACGGCGTCAAGCAGCATCCCTACCGTCTAAACCCTAACAAGAGAGCCTTACTGAGGAAGGGGATCGACACCATGCTGCGACAGGGAGTGATCGAGCCTAGCGACAGCGATTGGAGTTTCTCCTCCTGATGGTGCCCAAACCTGGTAATGATCAGTTCCGTGTCTGCGCCAACCTGAGACAGTTCAATGTTCATGTGAGAGATGACTGCATAGACAGCGAGGGGAGTGTTCACGCCCAAGAAGCCATCACGAATTTTCCAAGCCACAGACAAAGCAGGAAGTTCAATCGGCACCAGGTCAACTATTCCACATCCGAGAAGGAGGCTGTAGCCTCAGTGCTGGCCCTCAAACACTTCGAGATCTACGTGAAAAGCAGTAACTATGTTCACGGACCATACACCGTAGGAAATGCACTAATGAACGTGTGTTACGGTGGAGCTTAATGGTTCAAAAGTACAATCTATTGATCAAGCATCTCAAAGGAACAGACAATGTGTTGGCTGAGTCTCTGTCTTGGGATTAAATCATATGAACCATACCTCATCCAGCCTCCTATCGAACTGTGTCATTCATGAACATTCTCGTGATTTTGTGGATATATTGTACTCTGTATATATTTTTCATGTATTATTCAGAAAACTTCTACATATGACTTTTTATAGACAATTTTCTTAAAATGAAGGGGGGCGTGTCACCGGGTCATTAATCTACCCTTGTCATATTCTAGTGACCGGACCGCTTCCTCGCTATATTTCCGACACCACCGCTTGGCAAAGTCCGGCGGTCGTCGTTGTTCAGTGTCATTGCATTAATGGTTGGAGAATTAGTAACACTCATATTTTCTTCTCTTGTAATTTCATGACATACTCTTTCCACATATTGACTTGATGTTTATTGTCTTACATGTTCGCTACCTCATTCAAGTGTTGACAATGTTTTCGTGACTATGATTCTCGAACATACTATATTTCTCATATATTTATGATCATTATTGCCTCCTCCATAATTGTACATAGATTGTTGTATATCTTTCATGATACCGTTGGATAGCTTATGTTCTTCGCTGTATTTTGATACTCACATCTCTTTCGTATTAATATAGTAGTTAGATTGCGGTCCGTGCGCTGTGTATATAATCTTTTTCAAGATCGTGTGTCTTTACCCCCTGGATTCGATGGGCCGTTTTACGGGTCGGTTTGATATTGGGTGGTCGTTCGAAACTCCGGTTTCATTAGTAACTGATGACGGGGCACCTTTGATCTGTTACTGACTCTGGTTTTAGGCTAAACTTAGTGACTTGGGTTTCCAATACTTAGTTTTTCTTGTAATCCGTGGATAACCAACCTTCCCGTGATTGTCTAGCTTTTTGGGGGCAATTTTAGTATTTCCTAGCTCAGTCAAAGTGACTGAATCTTGAGTCTATTAGGCTAGTTTACAGGTACAGGGTGTCGGTTGTCTGTGGCTGGGTTGTACAGGGTGTCGGTTGTCTGTGGCTGGGTGGTACATGGTGTCGGTTGTGTACGGCTGGGTGGTACAGAGTGTCTGTTGTCTATGGCTGGGTGATACAGGGTGTCGGTTGTCTGTGGCTGGGTGATACAGGGTGTCGGTTGTCTGTTGCTGGGTGGTACGGGGTGTCGGTTGTCTGTGGCTGGGTGGTACA